TCTGGGAGCAGCTTACCGGGTGGTTTCTGCCTCACAGTCTCTCATGAGGTGCCGTCATCTGAAGCTCACCTCATGTGGGGTGCTAGCCAGCTGCAGTTCCATACTGGGTGCTGGTGGTAAGCCCCATTTCCTCAGCATACCAACCTCTTCATAGGCTGCTTGAGTGTGCTTACAATATGGCAGCTGGCTTCTCCCAGAGTGAGTAATCTGAGGGAGAGAGAGGAAATGAAAGATGCAGTATCTTTTATAACCTAATCTTGCAAGTGATGTGCCATCATTTCTGCCGCATCCTGTTGGTCACACAGACCAACCCTGGAACAAGGTGGGAGCAGACCACTCAAGGGTGTGAATATCAGTAAGTGGGATGGATCATTGGTGGCCATCTTGGAGGCTGGCCACCACAGGAGCCTTTCTGATCCAGCCATCTGCTTCCGAATGTTCCTTTCTTTCATCATTTTCAGATTCTGAAATTTCATCTAGGAAAGGCTTTCTTGCATGAACTTAGCTACATCCTTTCTCTTCAGAGACCTTCGTTTCTCATCCACTCAAAGCTGTCTTCATACCCTACTTCTGGACTGTAGAGACCAAGGAGAGTTTCTTTATAGAAAGCCACTGGTTTCTGGAACATCTGTCCTGCAAGAGTCCTGAGTGAGGAAAGAGGGAGCAGTGAGGTGCTGCACAAACACCGCCAGCATCGTACTGTCCACTCGGCATGTTGCCGTTAGCGTGTGCGGTGGAGTCCATTCCACCTCATAGCAACCCTGTAGGGCCCAGCAGAACTGCCCAATCGGGTTTCCTCGGCTGTAATCTTTACAGGAGCAAATGCCAGGTCTTTGTCTCCCCTGGAGCAGCTCGTGGGTTAGAAGTGCCAACCTTTTGGTTAGTGCCAATTGCTTAATCATTGAGCCACGAGGGCTCCTTTTATGGCATAAGACACCATCACTACAAACAACAACTAACCTTGGAGAGCAACTGGTAAAATCCAGCAAAGATGAAGATGTGAAGACACTATGACCCCAGCAAAAGGAAAAAGATTTTTGTTTAAATGATCATGTATTTATACAATGGAACCCTATACAGTTGTGAAGAAAGATATTTCAACCCATGTGAACCAATAAGGATAAGTCTCAGAAAGGTAATGTTAATTAAAAAAAAAAAAAAAAACAGTAACTAGCAAAAAGACACATAAATAGATAGACATGTGATATTGTTATTTATAAAGTATATGTTGTTGTGTGCCCTTGAGTCAGACCTGACTCATAGCAACCCTTCCTTGGGTTTCCGAGGCAGTATCAGTACAGAAGTAGATTGCCCAACCTTCCTTCCAAGGAGTGACTAGTGGGTTTGAACCACCAGCCTTCTGGTTAGCAGTCTAGTGCCTTAGGCACTGCGCTCCCAGAGCTCCTTAAAAAGTGTGTATATATATATATATGTATAAATACAAGGCATAAATTAAACAGGACAGGAGAGTAAGAGATAGGAGTAAGAGACAGTAATGGGATTGAGGAGAAAGTGTACATAGGGCTTCAACTGTGGCTACAATGTTTATTCGTTAACCTGGGAAGCACACGATTGTAATATTTTTTTGGTGAACCTGGAATACATCATTACACGAACTCCACAGGGGAGAAAACAAAAAGGAAAACCAAAACACCCTATAAATAAAGAACCCTTGAATCAAATAACCTATCTTCCTGCATCCCCCACCTTTTAAAACACACCAAAAAAAATCCACCCTGCAGTAGAATTTGAAACATCCTAGTCCATATCTGTGGCTAAGACACTTGCCTGCTAACCAGACGGCTGGTGGTTCAAACCCACCAGCCACTCCTCGGAAGGAAGGTTGGGCAATCCTACTTCCGTAGTGATGCTGCCTCTGAAACCCAAGGAGGGGTCGCTATGAGTCGAGATTGACTCGACGGCACATAACAACAACAACAGTCCATATCTGTGTATCTTCTTTCACTCTCCACCGCAGGAACTGCATCTAAAATGTTTTTTTGCTTCTTGATGAGTGGGGGTTGGGTCATTTTGAGCATCTGGGTATTTGTGACAGTCACCAGGGTTGTGATGTCAGGCTGTGAGTCCCGAGAGGAGCACAGTGGTTCCACCTCATGCCTTGATGCACACATGCCTCCTGTGCCCACCTAGGAATTGCATCTGCTACGGACACTTTTTTTTTTTTTTTTTTAGGTCAACACATTTTCTTCCAGCTCCTCAAACTGGAAAACATTTCTGAATAATTCTGCTAACTTCTCTTGAGAGAAAGAATTCTAATCCCAAGGCTAGACGATTTGAAGGATCAAGTCTGTGATGGTTACGCTTTGTTGAAATATGCTTTGCCAACAATCCTCAATATTGTGTAACAGGAGACTCAGGGCCCAGACGGCAACAATGGTTCCATTCAGAGGGAGGGCCTGGCCCATGCACACATTGCCCTTGATTTGGCAGCCCCAGATCTTACTTAACCCATCAGTGCTACAAGCCAGACGTTGGTGTGGAGAGACCCCCAGTATCACCCAGCCGAAAAGAGGGCCAGGTCCACCCATGCATGAAATTAACAAGTTTGACACCACCAATGAAAACAAGTCTTAAGAAGAAAAATCTTGAGCCTGACTTTATTTTCTTCTCTCAGTCACTTTTGAGAATGATGAGAAGTTTCTAGAGCGACTGAAAACAAGATGATTCTGTGGTTTGCGCTGTATGACAAAGGAAGTGGTGTGTAAGTCACACAGGCTGGTGGCCGAAAACAGGCTTGAGAAGCATTCTGAAAGGGACTGGGCTCGCCTGGGATGTGAACCTTGTTTAAACTCAGCCCTGGAGCAGCTGGCAGGGAAAGGTGCGCTGGTCCGCCCTAGGCTCATGTTCTCCTGCCTGAATCACTCATCCTATATCCTGGAGGAATCTGACCCTTAACTTCATTCTTCACCTTCTGTGAGGTATTTCTGGATGACCTTGTAAGCCTTGTAGGTTCAAGTTTCCTGGAAATACAGCTACCTTTCTAACTTTGGCAGGGCCACTCTTTCCCTGGAGGGGGGAAAAAAAACAGATACTACCCTGACAATAGTTTTGTGTTTTTTATTGTGCCCTTTCCTACTCAAAGCCAGCTTTCTTGATCAAATATAACAGGCTCAAAGAAGAAAACCAGCGCATGCCGTTTTGCTGACAGATCATATACGACACTCCCTTTATCCTCACACGTTTTGCCTGCCAATGTTGTGTCCTTAGTCACAAGCAGCTGGAAGGAGAGAGAGACGGATCGGCAGAGCCCAGAGTAGCATACGGGCAGATAACTCAGTCCTTATGTCCTACTGATGGGGAAGCGGAAGCTTTGTCTTCATGCAGAAAGCTGGACAGTCAGCCTGCAAGCGTTTACTGAATGTCCCGACTGTGCTCAGTGCTGAGTTAAGTGATGAGGTCAGTGTGCTGTAATGCCAGCATGGTGGACACCAGGCTGGGAACCAGGAAACCTGCCAGTTACTTGATTTGGGGGAACAACAGCAACAAAATGACTTCCTCCTCCCAGGGACTCAGTTTGTCTGTGTGTAAAATCAGGGGCTGTGGTGGTTAGCTCAGCTTCAGGTTTCCTCCAACCAGAGCAGTGGCAGATTGCATAGCGGGATTTGAGGTCCCAGACTCCTGATCTCAGGAGGCTTCCAGGTAACGAGGGAGACTGAGCAGTTGCACAGCTTGGCCCATGTCACCCCGCATGTCTAGGTGCTTCCTCTGAGGTTGCCATGGCCCGGGCTCGTGTTGCTCCAGACATAATTACTTTGGGCCCCTTCCTTGAGGAAACCACACTACTCCTGTCTCAGGCCTTTGTGCACGTTAGTCTTGTTGCCTTGGGCTTCCTACAGAAATGGTGCCTGGTTCTTCCCTTCCCATCTTTTAGATCTCATCTTTTCCCACAAGCCCATCTTGTACTACTCTCTCTCAAGGAGGGTCTTCCCTGTTCTCTTATTTTAGCATCCTTTTCCTTCATTAAGAAAGGAGCCCTGGTGGCACAGTGCCTAAGGCAATTGACTGCTAACCAGAAGGTTGGTGGTTCAAACCCAGCAGCCACTCTGCTGAAGGAAGACAGAAAAATCTACTTCTGTAAAGATTTACTGCCTTGCAAACGCAGTGGGGGACACTATGAGTCAGAATCAACGTGACTGCAGTGGGTTTGGTTTTTGGTTTTGGTTTTTCCTTCATTGCATTCTCATAATTTTTACAATTTGTTTCCTTGTTGGCTTTCCCTGTCAGTCTGTTAGCTTCCTGTAGGGAGGCATTCTTTTTGTTTTATTCAGACCTGCTGGTGTAGTGGATAAGGGATTTGACTGCTAACCAGAAGGTCAGCAGTTCAAACCCACCAGCTGCTCCCCGGAAGGAAGATGGGGGTGATCTATTTCCATAAAGATTTACAGTCTCAGAAACCCAATGGGGGTCACTATGAGTCAGAAACTACTGGATGGCAGTGAGTCTGGTTTGGTTAGGTTATACCCAATGTCTAGTACATGTCACCAAGTGCTTTAAACACTGCACCATCTTAAATGAATGACTTGGTATCTCTGCAACTCTGAGGGATGGGATGGTATCCAGTTGTTTCCCCATAAAGTTTCCTCTGTGTTTTTCTGGGTCAGGCTGGGTTTAGACAGGCTGCAGTAACTTCCGTCCCACTGCCTGCTTTTTTGGATCTCAGTTTTCCTTTTCCAAGAAGAAAGGGGTTCTTATGACATCATGGCGCACCCTTCTGTGCTAAAGAGACATCATTACCACTGCTCAAGGGATTCCTAGCCCGTCCCCAACTCCCTTTCTTCCCCATCCCTTAGAACTCCCAACCATCCTAAATGTTCCCACCTCTTCCCAGACGCCGACGTCACGTCCGCCCGCCCGCGCCCTGATGACGTCACACCTCAGTGCTGGCGTCACGTGCCCCGCCGGGGGCGGGCCTTGGGGGCGGAGCTTCCGGTCGGCGGAGCCTGGCAGCCCAGAGCGGCTCCGACGGGCGAGACGTGGGGATGGCGGGGCCCGGGAGTGAGGCCCGCTTCGCCGGGCTGTCGCTGGTGCAGCTCAACGAGTTGCTGGAGGACGAGGGGCAGCTGACGGAAATGGTGCAGAAGATGGAGGAGGTAAGCCGAGCGGCGGCGGTAGGGGCGTCTCGAAGTGGGCTTCGCGGGCCGGGGGCCGCGGCCCCGAGTTGTGTGGAGAGAACTGAGGCGGGAGTTGAGGGGCTTGAGACCGGGCTCGGGGGACTGCGGGGACCGAGAGTGGGCCTGCCCCCGGGGCGCGGGCGCTTGCTGGGGGTCCTGAGGCGAGCTCACGGAGCTTGGAAGCGGATGTAGGGGGTAGGAGGAAAGAAGTGGGGGGTCTGAGGACGGGCTGTGGCCGGACTGAGGGGATTGTGGTGTGGGGGACCCGAAGGCCGGCTCTGAGTCAGGATCCGGGACCTTTGAGGGGGGGAGGACCGAAGAAGTGACTGGGCTTGTAGAATGAGGTTCGAGGGTCGTAACCAACGCAGAGCGTCGGCGGGTCGAACCCACCAGCCGCCCAGCGGGACAGCGAGGTGGCAGGCAGCCTCCGTGAAGGTTTTCAGCCTTGGAACCCCTAGCGGGCAGGCCTGCTCTGCCCTCCAGGGTCGCTGGGAGTCGGAGTCGACTCCATGCCAGTGGGTCGAGCGGGTAACTGGTTGAATACGAGGCTTCGGACAGGATTGGGGATTCCAGTACAGAGCTTGGGGGTGCAGGTCTGTATCTGAGTGGGGCGCTGACCTGAGATTGGCTTCAGAGTTCAGCCAGGGGTCTCCGGTTGGGAGGACAGAAGCTATGGACATAGCGAAGGTTTTCAAAGTTTGGAAGGGTCTGTCTGAGATCCTCTAGGGGCTGCAAGAGTGTCCCCGGGGTCCTCCTGGATCTGACTTAACTGGGGAGTGGGGTCCCAGGGGTTCTCCTTGTGGATGGGCCTAAGGGGACAGCAGGATCTATTGGTCGCTAAGAATGACCCTCTCTGTGGAAGAGGGACTTTGGGTGTTAGTGTCTCACCCCGAGTGGGGCTAAGAAGGGGTTCCCGGAGCTGTTTCAGGGTGGAGATAAAATGGAGCCTGGGGGCTGACGGCCACCCCCACCCTTTTTGTAGTGAACGCCTCTCCACCCTCTGGAAGGCATGCGCTGCCTCTGTTTCTGGTTATCTCATTGGGTCCCTTTCGGCTGTCAGGTGTGACTGATTTCACTCTTGCAGCTTGGCACCGTGCTCTTCCTCTCACCCTTGCTCCCAACGTTTTTGCACTTTTCTCTGAAGGCCCTGTCTACAGGTCTGGGTCTCCCCCTGGCCAGGTGGACCCAGGCTTGTCCCCGCTCTCTCGGCCGTCCACCACTCCTCCTCCTTTGTGTGTCAGATTGGAGCCTTCCCACGCCTGCAGTGCCAAGCCACTCACCCAGAAGCCCGTGTGGGGGCTTTTGGCTTTCGTTCCGAAGAGGGATTGTTCAGGACCGAGCCAGCCCCCTTAAAAAGGGGCTTGTATGGAGGTTGCACATTCAAAATCACTGGAAAACCCTCAACAGATCATTGTCTCAAGCCACAGAGAGGCCACTGTAGTAAGATGGTATCAGTCTTTCCATTAATACACCCGTTGTATTCACAGGCTTTGTAACTTGGCACACAGAACTGTGCTCTGAGATGCAGTTTTCCCCGTTTATGGTCTCTGTGTGGTACTTTCCATTTGGGAGAATAAGTAGTGACAAAATCCATCTTTCTTGACTGAATGAGAGTTACTGGGCTCCAAAGAAAGAAAAGCTTTGCTTAGTTTGTCTGCTTTCCAGTTGCCCGGAAACCTTTAGTTGATTGTCAGCAGGGTCCCTTTCTAGTTTAATAATAAAATGATAGGTGTGTTTTTCTAATGTGTAATGTCACTTACCAGCTAGTTTGCTTTGTGTGACTCTTCTCTTTCAGTAAAGACAGTACTGTAGCAAGACTGCTGGAGGGTTCCTAGAAATCAAGTGTCATTTAGTAGAAAGGGTCAGGTTAACTCTGCCGACTTTGGGGCGGTTAGGGTTAGGGTTAGGGTTAGGGTTAGGGTTAGGGTTAGGGTTATGCTGTTCGGGGATGTTTTACCTGTTTCCTTTATCTGTCCCAGCCTGCCGTCATTGCGTTGATTCCAACTCTTAGCGACCCTATAGGGCAGAGTAGAGTTGCCCTGTCAGGTAATCCCAGGGCAGTCACTCTTCACAGAAGCACATTGCGACATTTTTCTCCTGCCAAGCGGCTGGTGGGGTTAAACTCCTGATACTTTGGTTAGCAGCCGAGCACTTAACCAGCTGCACCACCAGGGCTCCTTCGTATACCTAAGAACCTGGAACTGATTATTTAAAGGAAAGGTAAATTCTAGCAGGGTCTTTTTGTTATTTTCATTTTGTTTCTTTTGAGGAAAGGTGACCTTCGTACCAGAGTGCCTTACACACTACTGAGCACTAACCGCCTCCACTTGACTAGACCACATACTTCAAGGTAAATTACTCAGCGGTAGTTTGTTCTTCAGGGTGTAGTGCTTTTGGAACAAGGAAGCCCAGCGTGAAAGCTCACCTAGCCAGGGTCACACTTTGCAAATCCTGTTGCCCGGGGCGTATGTGATGGGCTTGTAAAGGAATGGGTGTAACGTGAAGATCTGAAATGTTGGCCGTGGGAGAGTCTCACTCACCTGTTAATACTGCGGGTTGGTTCATTTCCGGGTGGTTGTGAGACACGGTAGAAAATGCTTGTGAGCTGTCAACCTTCGAGCACATGGAATGTTTAATAATGTATGATGGTCAAGAGCATTCAGGCTTTGGCATCATGCAGTTCGGGTTGAACTCGGCCACTTCCCAGCTGTGTGACTGCAGCGGATCACTTAACCTCTCTGAGCATCTACTGGGGAAGGGTATTGTAATACTCATGTCTATTTCATAGAGTTGTCGTGAGGATTAAGTGAGACGGTGCATATGAAGTACTGGACACAGCCTGCAGTGCTCAACAGTCCTTGTAGTTGGTAATCAGCATCGGCAGTTAGCTCTTTTTAGCAAGATTACTGGCCGCATTTGTAAGTCACATCACCCTGACAGGCGAGTATGGTCTTACTGCAAGACTCTTAAGTGAATTTTTATTTGTCATCAGCCTAAAAAATGCTTCACCTCTCCATGACCAAATATGGAGCCCTAGTGCTGCAGTGGTTAAGTGCTCGAATGCTCACCGAGCAGTGGGCCGTTTGAACCCAGCAGGTGCTGTGCAGGAGTAGTATGTGGCAGTCTGCTTTCGTAAAGATTATATCCTTGCAAACCCTATGGGGCAGTTCTTCCCTGTCCTCTGGGGTCGCTGTGAGTCGGAGTTGACATGATGGCATTGGGCTTGGTTTTGGTTTATGGCCAATATGGTTATGTATCTCAGTAAGTCTGGGATGAGGCTGTATGTGGAACAGGACTTCCACTGCATAGACACTCTCAACTTGAACCTTAGGCTTCCTTTTCTTTTTTTTTTAATTGGCAGAAGAAAGCTGTTTAAATTGTAGAGTAAGGCTTCTTCCAGCCCTAGGGGATATTTTGTGGTGACTGGGAAGTGTGGCTAGGTTTTGCAGGCATGTACGGTTGGGTTTGAACACAGCTGTGTATTATGCTTCCCTGACATGGGTTTAATTGGTGTGTGAGTCGAAGCTTGAGCACAAGTTAAGACATTGCAGCAGTGACTACAGGCGTTCTCACTCTCTGAGCCCCAGTGCGTTCCTCTTCGTGCTCCTCCTGTCAGTTAGGCAGGTCCCTAAATGCAGTATGTCCTTGGTGACCTTATGCACTTTGCTTTGGTTGTGGGACAATGTTTCATCTGTACAAACTTCTTACTTTGGTTTAAAGTTATTTTTACGTGGCTGTGGAATGTGCCTTTCTCTGTACAGATGGACCCATTGGACTTGCAGCCAGCTCCCTTAAAAGGAACCGTCGCCAAGGGGATTAGGCAACTAGGCAAGACCTCTGGGGTCACTTCTTCAAGTGTGGTTTCTGGCTAACGCTGATTGATTGGTGCCCACTGAGGACTCAAATCCGGGATCTCTCTTCCTGGGGCAACAGAAAGTGCCCACATGCAGAAATGCTGGATGAAGCAGGATCTGAAGGCCAGGTGGTTTTGTGGGAAGTAAAGTGCTCTGGTCTGGAGGAAGCCGTATCTGAGGCACATTCTGGTGGTTGGTTTGTGGGGCTGCGGGGTCACTGCATGAACCATAGCGGCTCATTGAGCTGTGCCATCCTTCCTTCAGTCCGCAGCCTGCTTCCCCGACGTGTGGGTGTTCTGCAGGCGGCACGTGGTTTTTAGAGGTGAACGTGAAACCCTTGAGCACCCCATAAGAGTCAGTTTGTATGCAGGCTGTATAGCTGGTATTTACCTGTAAAGGGTTCAACTTTTCTGTTCTTCCATGAACCTATCAGTGTAATTCCAGTAAAAAAAAAAAAAAAAAAAAAAGGTGAAAATAATTTCTCTGTATGCCCAGGAACATTTTCTGAAAGTCAGTTTTAACTTTGTAAAAGAAGGCACCAAGATTTAGTGGCAAGAACATAACTGAGAGCTGCGCAATTCTGTTAGTTCAGCTGCAGTTTCCTCAACTTTCAAGTGAGGATAGTAAGATTGCCTGCTGTGGGCTCCCCCCGCCAGGCTAGCTGGAGTGACAGGTGTTGCTGATAATGGTACTTAGCACTGAGGAGGTGATTAGTAGAGGCTGGCTGCCTCTCCTGCCCTGGTTACAGGAATCTGAGTGGCTGCCGAATTGAAAGTGCATAGGAGGCAGTACGTGCAGTGGTTTGGAGTCAGAACCTGCTTTTGTGTGTGAGGGGGTAGCTTTCCAAGGAGCTCTGGTAGCACAGTGCCTAAGGCATCTGACTGCTAACCAGAAGGTTGATGGTTCAAACCCACCAGCCACTCCGCAGAAGCAAGACTGGGCAATTTACTTCCGTAAAGATTTATCACCTCGGAAACCCAGTGGGGGTCGTTATGAGTCAGAATAGACTAGATGGCATTGGAGTTGGTTTTTTTGGGTAGGTTTCCAAGCCCAACTCACTGTCCTCGGGTTGATTCTGACTCATGGTGACCCCCGTAGGGTTTCCAAGGCTATAAATCTTTACGG